CAATTCTCTTCTCTCTTCTCTCTTCGCTCTTCGCTCTCTCCTGAACCACATGTTCACCTCATCACACCAACGACAATTCCTCCCTCTCTCTGCCAACTCCACCAATTCCAACTCAAGATCGAATAAAAAGTGGCCGTTTTCAGTCCTATCTCCTCTCCCTTATTTTATGCGTTGATATATTGAACAGAAACAAAGGAGATAAAAGCTTATATAAATGTGAGTGCAAAGTGTACAAATTGGAGTAGTTAAATCACTGCCCCTAACAAATGACTTTTGAATTTTAAACGAATTCCAATTAGGAAAATCTTTACATGTTTTGCAGCTTAACGCAGTTGAAAATAATCTAATTAAAACACAAAGTCCAACAAGAGAGGAGAGAAATGAACCTGGCCATGCCATCAGGATTTGTTGCAATGAAAAGACATCCAGGATTTTCACGTACAGAGACTGTCCCATACCTTCCATCACATAAACATTGACTGCCACCAGAGAAGACCAAATGCAATACATGTAACAAATGCACTGCATATATAATAAGACCATAATGTTTATGTGGTGTTGGCACTTGGTATAGTAACATGCATATTACCTTCCATTAATACATTGTAACACAATGTTTGCATAGACGCCTGAATTTGAGAACAAGTACAGTCCATAAAAAAAATAAAGAAAAAAATATAGTGAATTGTGGCAATGTGATGTAAATAACAACACTCGTCTTAATATTCATCTTTCGAGATTAAAGAATCAAGTTCTGAATTCATAATATTAAAATTCAAATATGCTTCTATTGCAATGCAGGTATATATATTTTCAACTGATAGACTGAATTGCTAGGGGGACAAACTGGCAGTGTGTAAAGCCATAAGCATCAAATGGACTCCTATTAGACATTAAACTTCAAGAAGATACTGTTCAGCATAGAAAATTTTATGACAGAACAACATATCCTTCCAGTGTGTAAAGCCTATAAATACTGATCTTACATTTTTGTTTTTTGTCATTTTTTTTGTATTTGCTAGTTCTGGATGAAGATGGCCACGGCAGCAATAGTGCTGTTATAACGCTATCAGAGTTTGCAGCGCCCTTGGATTAAGGGCACAGACATGTGGGCACTGCAGCACCACCGGTTAAGGGGCACTACCAGCATCCCCAAGTCAGGGGCATTGACATGTGTACAAACATTTAGATTTATCCAACCAATTCTAGTTTTCTATAAGACACCTCAAGTACTATAGAGTGAAGATCATCATATGGTGGAGCAAACTCCTTGATACAAGAGACACTGTCACCATCATAATGGTCAATCATAACTTCTCCATATTAGACACACAGGCTGTTTCTCTCACTTTATCCTCTTTGACCTTACTAGCACAAAGCTTGATATCAGTTTCTTTAACACAACGATAAATACCTGCAGAATATCAAGACATATATTGCCAAACTGATCAACATTTGGATGGAAGCACATTGTCTCAAACTTGACTTGGGGTGGCTTGAAAGGATAGTCCAGAGGAAAACGCAAAGAAAGTTTGTAGGATAAACCCTCATACATAGTTCCTTTTCCACCTTCAATTGTGCCAAGCCATGTAAAAATGCTCTCACCTTCAGGAAAAGCCGATACTCCAAGATCTCCTCCACTCATCTGAAAACAAGGACCAATAGATGTTGGACGGACAAACGTCAGTAAAACCAAGAGTTACTTGTCTCATAACTGAAATGAAAAGTAACAAGAAATAAGGTCATCAACTCATCAAATGGACTCCTATTAGACATTAAACTTCAAGAAGATACTGTTCAGCATAGAAAATTTTATGACAGAACAACATATCCTTCCAGTGTGTAAAGCCTACAAGTGGAAGTGTGATAATTGTTAAGACTTCTCAGACAACCACACACGCAGTGCAGCCATAATCTGATGCTTTGCATTGAATTCCTAGAGAACACACACACACAACTACCTACCTAACTTCTGCACCACACATCCCCATCATCCCAGGATTATCAAGAATCAAGAAAGTCCCCCCTTTTTTTTTTTCCTTCTAGATTATGCTTCAAGTTTCAGCTTATGAAATTAAGATTGAACCCACAGAAAACCCAGTTCAAGATTTAGACAAAAATAAACAAATACAACAAGAAATGAAAGATTAACAGAGATTCAGGCAAAATCAAAAGCAAAGAATTTTTCCAAACAAAGTAACAAAAGAGAGAAACATACGTACCATCAGAGACATCAACTCCTTCTGAAGCCTACAACAGCATTGAAACAAACCAAGTTCAGTTGCGAATTGAATTATCTCGGGATCCAAACAGCGAATTCAAGAAAAGGACTGACCTTTGTGAAACGGAGGTGGTGTCGACGGGGATGGGAGAAGCAGGGGGCTTTTTCTGAGTAGTTGCGGGTGTGTGGCGCTGACGCTGGGGCTGCGCGACCGACGAGTTGTCGGCCGTTGGATTGGGGCGGACCTCCATGCTCACGGTGATCAATCGCCTTTCCGATCGACGGTTGCTATTCAACTTAACGGTTTCTGCAGCGGTGGTGGTAAATGGTAATGAGGCTGTCTTTTTGTTTTATCTTTTATTTATTTTTGTTTTTAAATTTATTAATGAGAGAATATAATGGGGGCATGACCTGCTGTTGGTGTGACTGATTATAATCACTCATAAAATCATCATAATATTATAATTTTTATAATAATAATAATAATAACAACAAAATGTGATAATGTAATTTGGAGTAAATTATTTTATAGAATAAGTTGGACTAAATTAATAAGAAGATAATATCAAATATTTATTGTAGGTTAGTGTACAAGTATAGCAATCACATAGCTGGAATGAGAATGAAAGAGATAGCAATGGAGGAAAATAGGAATCTTTTGATGCCATTTGTGTAGAAGGGTTCTTATTAAAGATTGAAATTGAAGCATTAGCAAATAATTGTGAACAACAATGACACTACACGATCTAAGGGGATAGAAAGGAATCTCATTCACACAAAACCACATATTACAAATCCGAACATCAAATCAATCAAGCGTCTTTGTTTTGACAACCAAAAAAAAATCAAGCATCTTAGTTAGTAGTGGAATGATCTTCTTTCGTTATTGGGAGGCAAGCCAAATTAGTAGAAGCTAGTGTTTGCGTGTTACAAAGTTCATAAAGAATGTTAAGGTAAATATTAATGATTAGGATGAATAAAAGAGTATATGCGCGACTGATCCTAACAATGCTCGTGAACTCACACTCCAACTGTGTAGGATTCATTTGTAGTCTTTTGTCTCTTGGGTATAATTATATTTCTAAAAATGAAATTGTATATGTAAAGTACAATATGTGATGCCTAAAAAAGCAAAAAATTACACTACCATCATGCACAGCACACAATATCCTACACGCAACACAAATTAATGAAATCATCCTATCCCCTGTTGCTGCAAATGCTCAACCATATATGATGTACACAAAAGAAGGAGAGGAAGAAGAAAAGGGTTAGCAGCATGTCTTATGATCCAACTCCATCAACTTCTTGATTTTCCTTTGCCAAATGAAAACTCAGACAGACCAATGTTAACTGCATGCTGAGTACGAATCCCAGGCGGTGCCGGAGGCAATTGTGTTGTTGAAGTAGGCTCTTGATCCAGTTCCCTAATCTCTTCTGGGTCACTGGGTCCAGCATTGTTATTGTTTAGGGAATGTGATGACCCTTCAATTTCCCAATGACTTAATTCAAGGTTTGATGCTCTTGGAGATACATAATAGCCATCAGCATCGCTGCGGTTGTGCTTGTGCAGCAGATGGACCGGGGACATGCGCAAGCCTTGGCTGGGAGTTCCCGGCGTACTTGAGAATGGTGTGTTTGAGTGTGAATGAGGGCCCAGTTTTGTTTTCTTTTTGGCTTTGTTGTGCCAGCTCTTCAGTGCTCTTACCACTTCCTCATTGAAAACGGTGCGTTTCATGGTAGAACCCATCTGTTTGAGTTTGATCAAACAAAACAAAGTTAACCGATGTTAAATCAATTGGGATTCACTTGTAGCCTGCTGGGACTCTTTTTTTTTTTTTTTTTTTTTTTCAATTTTCATGTGCACAATTTAAAATCTGATATTGAAAGCGAGATCATTTTCACCTGTGTCACTAGAGCATAGAGAGGCAGAGTCACATAACTGCATAAAAATTGTACAATGACCCTGAGGAGATCACCCAAAAAAAGGAATTGTGTGCATTAGCAAAACAAATTGTGCTCATTGAATGATTAACATATGGATTTGTACAAAATTTGTTTTAGTGTGTAAAGCTCACTGCTCACCCCATTGAGATCCTGATCACGATATCTTCGTTGCGCTCGTGGAAGCAAGATTTTATCCCAAACGCATACTGAAGGAGAGAAAATCAATTATTTAGGCTATGAAAACTAAAGAAAGCTCTATTTCAATGGTTAAAGTATCTTTTGGTTAACATCTAATCTAAGTATAAGCAGATCTTTGTAAACGTGGTCATTTTTACTTACTGTACTCCATGCAAAGAAGGCCAGCTGAAATGCATTCTGCAATGAAGAGAAAGAAATAACAAAAGAGCAGCATGTAAAAATACAAACAAGTATGACTGTATATGATTATATAATATCCGAGAATTGAAGCTATACAAATGAATTCTGGATGCATATTTTGAAGTACCTGAAACAGAACGAAGTGGATGAGAAAGAGCATGTAGCGAGGGCTTCCAAACCAGAAGAGGTGATCGCCGGGTTGAACAAGAGGGGCACCCTTCACCACATCCCCTCTCTCCTGAATCCTCAGCCCCATCATTGATATAATCACTTGTAGTTTTGTTCCCACCAACAGGATTATCTACAAGATTTTTAATCGCTATCAGGATTTTCTGTTTTGCTCACAACCCTTAAATTTTTGTGGCCTGCAACTGCAATGGCCATAGTAAAAAGGGAATGCATGACACTTGGATGATGAATTTGATCTTACAACTAAAGGGATAAATGGTAGCCAGAAATAAGAATACCATCCTGTCCAAAGAGGAAACATTTCTTTGTCAGTAAATTCCCAAACTTTTCATGACAATTTTCGGAATCAATAATAAAAATAAAAATAAAGGATTTTACAATAACACTAGAAACAGATAAGACCTAATAGAATATCTCATTTACCATATGCGTTGGAAAGCAAGAACAGCACTGCAGAGAACCATATAATTGGGCTGCATCCATGAAGTATAAAGTTAAGTTTGTAAGACAGAGTTAAACAAAGAACCTAATGACTTTAGACACTACAGAACACCAACCTGATCTCCACAACAACTTTGAAATCCTCTTCAAGTGATCTGCTTATGTACTTCCGAAAATCAAATGTCGTTTCACTGTCTGGTGCCAAATGTGCCTGAAATCACAAAGCATAGAATTTGAGTCCATTTATGACCTGCATCTTGAATCCCATTTAAAGCCTTGCGTATGCAAATGAATTAGGCAACTGTTTTTCTTACCATGATAAATCCATGCCTCAGGGTTAGGTAATCAACCCTAGTAACCGACTGGAAGAGCTGCCTGAAGAAAGACACCTGGACGGGAAAAAAGAGAAACTTTGAGACATTTGGTCAAGCAATTTTATGTAAGTTGAGAAGCTTAGGAGTGTGTTTCTGAAGTTGACATCAAGGTTTCTTGCTGACAGAACTTGGGAACAAGGATCAACTTCACGGAAGTATGTTACTTACAATCCAAAGGGTCAATGGTGACCTGAATTTCAAATGTCTCTGTCCAAATGATGTGTCCCTTGCAAACCTAAACCTTTCTGGATCTGCAATACAAATAATTTAATGAGTTATAATCCAAGAAGTGCCCTTGATGGTTAATTGGAAAATATTCTTATAATTAATCATGAGAAGCCTGAATCTGTGAACAAAGTTTGTAAGAAGAAACTTTATAATTTACAAGAAAAAAATAATAATAGTAGTCAACAGAAAAGTTCCAGCAAGATGATGTATTAAAGTCAACCTGGAGCAAAATTACAAACCATTGTAGTACTGATGTTCAATTGACCTTGTCTCTTTCTCCCAAACCTTCCATTTTCTCATCTGTAATCCAAAAAAGATAAAAAATACACTGAAAAGATGAAACACAAAGAGAGAGAGAGAGAGAGAGAGAGAGAGAGTCTCCAAAGTTGTACTAATTTGCTACTTTACCTTGTATCTTCCCAAAGTCAAGGTAAGGATGCAGTAGAGCACATGAAAAAGTGCTAACACAAAGATAAATATGTGCAGTTGGTGAATCCCATAGGCAGACACAAAGGCAACTTTGCCCTGCAAAAATTCACAGTCAATTAGAATTTTAGTGGCCAAAGGATGTTATATATCAGTACGGAAACAGAACCGTTTGCTTTTTACCTCCTTTGAACAATAATCATCTCCTTTTACTGCTAATCTGCGCCTGTAACTGAAGTCAGGATTTGAGAAATAAAGAAGTTTCCTACCCTTGTTTTCAGATTTTGACCGTGCTTCCTTACTGCAGGGAAGCCAAGAGTCTCCAATACTTTTTGGTATGCATATATCAGAGATATAATCTTGCAGCACAGTTAGGAGCAAGGATATAAATCCCAATAGCATGAGCTCTTCAAAGAAATCAAAGAGAACAAACAAATTGTTAGGCTTTGAACAAACATAAATTGCTTTAATTCCAAAAGAAAAAAAAAGAAAAAAAACTAAATGACCAGATGATGGGGTACCAGATTTAATCTTCTCAAGTGCTTCAACTAGAGCTCTCTTGTGTTTGCTTGTTAACCACTGAAAATGGTGCAAGAACAATGTCAGGTGCAATGATCAACATTGATGTTTAAAGACAAGAAAGTAAATTCAAGCAGGCAGCCAATGCCCAGAACACTAATTCTGGTGCACTCAGATTCATCTGCACCAGTTTAATAAACTGAAAACCCAAATAAAGTGAAGGCAGCAGCAAAGCCTTCACCCCAACTACATTGGATTTGGTTGCATGCATGATCTTTAACTGAACAATATTTTTTTATGGGAATGAGGCCAATCAGCTTGAAGCCAATTAGTTAACTAAGCAATTTGGCCTTACCTTTCCTATGAGGTGTATGATATGTTCAATGAAGATTGAAACTGCAAGCAACACAAAACAGACCACAGCAACAGCCCATGTTGGTGTTTCCTCTAGGGAACGCTCTTTACTTAGTTCGGCCATTCGAATCTCTACCCAAAAGCGCTACCAAGATATTCCTATGAATCTAAATATTATATGTATATAAATGTGTTTCTCTTTGTTATTTATAAGGGAAATTATGCGTGTTGAAGGGAAAGGGCAGGCCAAGAAATTCAAGATATTATTTAAGACCAGTTATGATGAAAGACTTTTAAGTAGCAGTCTCTGTCATTCTATGCCGACTTTATCGCCAAGAGCTTATCAAAATTAAGCAAATCAGCAAATTAACTTGGAAATAATTTTCAATAATTAACGTATCCTTTGGAATGAGAAATGGGACAAATGGACATTGCCAAAAAGACCACTACTAGTTCATAGGGTCGTTATACTTTTCAATTGCTGGTACGAATGATTAAGATCATGAACTCGTGGTGAAGAGACAGCTTAAGATTTTTTCTGTTCTGAACTGAAATGAAGGGCATTTACAAGATTCAAACGGGTCTTTGTCAGGAGAAATTATACAGCATGGTAGTACCATGTGTTGCAACTTGCAAGTTGAATGGACGTAGCACCATATGTCAATTGCCATGATGTACTACCAGACTACTGTATAATTTCTCCTTTGTCAGTTCATAATTAAAAAAAATGATATGATTGAAAGAGCCAATGAACTAAACAATAATCCACAAAGCCCACGGGGGATAAGACCTTGCAATGGTTCATGGTATTTGATATTCTAGACAAAACTAATCATCTTGAGGACCTACAGGTATTTGGTATTTGCAACTTGGCATTTTCATCAATACACAAACGTGTTTTACCCAATGTTTTGAAAGGCATGCCTAAGCGCGACTGAGAGCGTGAGGCGATGGTAAAACGCCTCAAGCGTACCTCTGTTTTAGAGATTGTTGTTAAAGGCATACGCCAAGTTAAGGAGGCGTACGCCAAATTCCAAAAGCGTACGCTTGAAATTGCAGAGGCGTTGCAGAGCGGAGAAGAACACGATGAAACCTAACTTTATTTCTCTCAAAACAATCCCGTATGGTACAGCTTTTGTGTTTAAAGAGTCAAGCAAAACACCAGCGTTTCAACATCCATGGTTTCTAAGTTTAAGAACATAACATAAGCTCAGGTCCCACTTCCTCTATTCCTTCACAATAAAAAATTATTATATTAATTAGTCCCTCCTGTGCCTTTTATCTTCTCCTCTCACCTCACCCAATACAAGGTTCACAAAAATCAGATTTCCCTCTGTTTAAATTTTGACTAGCTCTCTGCCATATCCACCCACATATTTCTAACGGAAGCCTCTCTTTCAATATATATATTCGAACAGGCTGCATCAATTTGAATTCATATCCAGTCTATAACAGTCTAAATCAATTTAGGGCTTAAAGAAAGGCTTGAGATGTTTCAATTTATGAATCAATGACCTCACAACATATATGGATCATATGTTTTACATATTATTAACATACTAATATATTTTTATTTATGATAATTGAATGTTCAAAAGGCTTGCGTCTTATCGCCTCAAGGCTTACGCCTCGTTTTGTGAGATATAAAACGCCTCTCTTCAACGCCTCGCCTTTCAAAACATTGTCAAGTCATCATACTTATATCACATATTTTTGTTTGCATTGAAGAGATATAACTAGTACGGTTAAACAAATCAATTGGGAAATTAATTTAGAACTTTTCAAGACAATCTCTACGTCAATTTATACTTGCATACTCGTTCTGTCATCCAGACATTAATGTCGAATTTGTTCTCTTCTCACTTTTGATTTTATTTGAAAAAGACCCTTGATCTTGTTAGACAATCGTTAACTTAAAAAACTTAAGTTGTCGTAGGAATATGCCAACAATGTATATCAAACTTACAGTTGTGGCAAAGAGACATACTGTTATTTTGAAGCCTGAGACTTGTTGAAACGGCCTAAAAACTAGATCTGGCAAATTTTGTTCTTTCCCAAACAAATTTTCACCAGAATAGACCTTTCACGATTGAATGTGATTATGTGATTTATTTGAATGAGATTAAATTTTTTTGCTTGGTGATGAAAATTTATCATCCTTGTTGCATATAATGGTCAGACTCGTTAACCTAAATTTATCATACTAAATTTCTTATGTTCCATATCATATAATGGTCTTATCAAAAAATATATTCCTTATAGAAAGGCCAGACTCGTTAACCTAATTAACATTGCATAATCATATTCGGTTTACTTTGTCTGACCAAACCCAGGGCCCTTTTTCTCCTATATTTCTGTTCATATTCAAACTTATGATCTATGAGCAAGTTGCATATATACATATATATATGTACTTCATTCTGCTTTTATTGCTTTCTGTATTAAAAACTACACCAGTCAAAAGGCAGGTATGGTGGTAATGGCATCATCCATTTCTGTACAGAGAAAGCAGCAAATGAAGCCATGAGATTTTCAAAAGCAAGAACATTATATATACAATTGAGTTTGTCCCATCTCTTTAGAGCACCCATCTCAAGCTAATAAAACTGTTATTTTCTGTCATATATAAAATGTATCAAGATTTCATCATTTAAATTAAGAATTGCATATCTGCTATATATACATATGTGTAGTCTGAAATTTGGCTGAACACATACATATCTGGTTTTTTAGGCTGACCCAATTTAAGGTCACCCAATTTTCAGTCTTTGATATATTATATATACGTGCAAAGGTAGAGGAATCTTACATTGATCATTGTTTTTATGTTAGAGGTGTAATATCTCTGTAGATTTGGTTATGTCCGTTTATAAGTATGTAGATTAAGTTGTGTAAATCCATACATGGCAGAAAAGTAGAAAAAAGAAAAAGATAGAGGTATGATCTTTGAAATAAAAGTAAATCCATCTTTGTACAGAAAAAACACAACTACATTTATAAAAATAAAAATAAAAAGTCTATCCAAAAAGAGGATTTGAGACCTCTAATTCCCATACATTGAAAAAACAACTGAATTGTCCCATCTTTAGAGCACACCTAAGAACAAGATTCACAGTAACAGAAAGAAGATAGAGTTTCTTCAACTAATAAAGCTGTTCTTTTCTGTGATGCCACCATCTCCACCTGCAAAAAAGTAACCAAAAAAGCTTGGCTTAGCATTAAGCAATGAGAGAGAGAGAGAGAGAGAGAGAGAGACTTATGACCTAAGAAAAAAAGCATTAATAAGAGGGAGAGAGATTGAAAGCTTTAATATAACTGGTCCTCCACATCTAAAGCTGTCTTGACAAACACTTTAGACCACACTCTTACAAGTTTCAGAATTACCACTCTCCTTTTTCAGCCTAACTTTGATGGTTAATTTATCTTACTTTTTTTTTATTGGCCAACTAAAGGCTCTTTTGGACTTGTTACATAATTTTTCACATTCTTTGTTTATAATTTTCAAAATCAAAAGCATAACAGTTAGGTGGAGGAGTACTATAACTCTAAAACCAAAATAAATGTGATCAACAACTCATATTCACAGTTTGACAAGATAACATTTTACTAATGAACACGTAACTCACCAATAGTAATCCCATCTGGGTCGAACTTTGGACATCCGGTTCTGACCATATGGGTGGTCCGTTTCAGCTCTCTGGGTGTTCCGGAAAGCACAGCACCCAATTGAATAGATTCCAATGAGGACCACAAGCATGACAATGTTGAGGACAGAGAGCTTGTGCCAGTCTCTTTTGATGTCTTCAAGCACTCCAGCTTTGCATGAATCGCACTCGTAGCATAACAAGTTGGGCGCATTGTTCCACCGGTAGCAGTCCGGGTCTTGACTCACTGTGGTTGCCATGTTGTAATTGCATAATGTTGGTGGCTTGCAACAACCAGACTGCATATAATATACATATATGCACCCCAAATCATTAAATTATTACAAGCTTTAGAATGAGCTAATAAGTCTTTACACACGACATGAACTTTATACATATATATCTCTCTCTCTACTTTATCATCCAAAGAAAAGCTCTTGCTATATTTATTTTTTACTTTTGCTGGGAAAAGCCGTCTTGAAATACATACAATGGGAAGAATTCTATGGTTCATACATGAGAAGAGTACGAGGGTAAACTTAATTGAACAAGAAGAAAGAAAGTTTTAGAGAAAAAGTTGGGATTTTAAGTATTTTCCTTATCATATTATGCTTCTATCTAATTATAAATTACAATACATCAACCTAATTAAGAAACGTGAATGAATCGATCGAATTTTTAAGAAAACAAACACAAGCAAAATTATTTTTTTTATTATCAAGTATCCTTTTCTAATATTTGTTTCAACTACTCTCTTTTTTTAAGCATGGAAAAAAAAAAAGGAGAAAAGTTGTAAGAAGGGAGCTTCTATTATCATATTTGCAATTCTATTGATTTCTTGAGGATGTTTAGGAAAATATAGAAGAAGAAAAACAATCCTATATAGGTAGAGGCTTACAATCACATATAATACAAGACCCAAATGAACTTGAATATGTAGCCAGCAATGAATTGTAAATTACCAAGCAAAAAGAACACATATGTACTAATTACCTGTATGGGAGACATGTCTCTCTCAAGATAATCAAGAGGTGTCCAAGCAATAAGCTTAGCACAAGTCTTGGACCCCAATATGCAACTCCTAATCTTAGTCCAATAGTTAGGATCCTTAATCCTATTCTTCAACCATGGTGAGTAATCTTCAAGATGGTACTCCTTATAAACCCTACTAGGCACATCCACTCCACCACCTTGACTTGTGACCACAAACCCAAACACAGTTAAACCCATTAGGGTTGCAATTAGGAGCAACATAACCACTAAGTACACCCAAAGTGCCCAAGCCACATTGAAGCAAGCACCAATGAAGCCTGCTAGAGATATGATGAGCACAACAAAACCCACCACCAGAAGCGGGGTTTGGAGGAAGGTTTCACATGTGGTGCTGCTCCTTGCCATCCATAGACCTCCTCCAATTATGGGTATTGATGCTAAGAGAGTGAAAAGGTTCAAGAACCCTATCACTGTGTTGCTGAACCTATACATCTCTCTCTCTCTCTCTCTCTCTCTCTCTCTCTGTGTTCTCTCTCTCTCTCTCTGTTGTTTTCTACTTGTGTTTTTTAACTCCTAATTTCTCTCTCTTTATATGGGTGGCAATGCTTTACTCTGTGTTGGTGCTGCTGAAAGCTTCAAGAATTCAAAATGCTTATCTCCCTTTTTTTTTTTTTTTTGTTACCCTATTTGCTTTCCATAGATTAAGATATTCATTCATAAACTTTATTAATAGAAGTACTGTATGTGCATGATAATTACTAAATTATTGACACTCTGAGTGGTTGAATGACCAAAATGCCCTTGGATTGAATTTGATTCGTTATGCATTGTTCAAGGCAAGAAAAGAATATGGTGGCTAGATAGGCAATTTGGGTAATTGCAAGAATGTTGTTCAGAGAAGAAGTGAGTTGCTTTTGCTTTTGTGGTGAATGAATGGACCCCATTTGAGCTTCTTTTTGAAGCATGGTGATCACATTGAGCAACAGCTGCAGGAGATATTAGGCCATCTTTTTGGCGGGAGGGAATAGAATATTAGAATACTAGAATATTAGAATATTAGAACATTAGAATATTAGAGAATGGAGGGTTTGCCTAGCAATCCCTCTTATCCACTCAGTCTCAGCCAATATATATTAGACTTGTAGTTATTCAGTGTCTTTGTTTGATTCTCTTTACGGCTCCACTAGACACCAGTTTTCTTAATGGAAAAGTTTCCGATTAAGTTTCTAATCCTTAATTATTTGGTACGTCAATAGTAGAATAATAATACATGTACTTTGCCATTAAGTTTCTAGGGCTAGAAGAGGAGCTTAAAGTGAGGAAGCTATTTGAGGAGGCTAATCCCCTCATCAAAGCATTTAAAATGTTTAAGTTCCATGATTTCTTTACATTTGTTGATGGTAAGATTGACCTCCTCAAATAACCTTCTCACTTTAAACTTCTCATCATAGTCTCCCGTTAAGTTTCTAATCCTTTAGTAATATTGAGTTTTGTTGTAGTTTGGATCCCAATATTGGGCTTAATACTGAAGCTCCCATCTTGATACTCAATAATATTATAATAAAATATTATTTTCAATTTTCACAACTAAGACAAATAACAGGCTCCACTAGCCTAGGGTTAGACCAATAGACTTTTGTGACAAGAAATGAACAACAAGCCTCCTTAGTGAGTGATTAAAAAGATGAGTCAATGATGAAACTCCTCTAACGTTTGTCAGAAAACCAAATATAGCAATATAACTTCAATAACTAAAGAATTAATCTACAGTAGGATAAAAATAATAATAATGTAAGATAGGCCATTGATCTCTCTCTCTCTCTGAGAGTAAATGCGGCAGGCACACACACTTGTGTACTCTGTGCACAGTTTAACACTACAATATGTTAGCACTTCAATGGTTTCGTTATCACAAGTGGTCTTGTGCTTACAAAGCAAATCAATCGCTGTCTTGATAAAACAATGAAGAACAATAAATAAAGCTTTTGACTTACTCGTTTGCTAAGTAGTCCATCATAAATGTTGAGGGTTATCCCACAACCAGCGGCTCACGTTGAGTAGATCCGCGGACAGCGCCAACCATAGAACCTCCACTTAAGTTGAGTATAAATTATAGTAGCCAACCAGCGGCTTCATCAATTCGTTAACAACCTTTTTGGCTAGGTATTTTCAGGTCCAGAAATTCAAAATTTCCCAGTCAACTTTAGAAGTTTAGGCCTCATATAATCAAGTCATTTGGAACCACTAACCCATGCATTAGTAAATGCATAGATAATCTGATTCAGTATCTGAACATTAACGAGTTCAATAAATCTTTACAGTATGTATCTATAACTGACAGACTTTTCTCGTCTTTAGACTTAACAATAAGTCAAAGTCGTCAGATAATGAAATTTGGCTCAGATTTTCAATATCTACTTTTCCAGAGAGAAGTGCTTCAAGAGACAGGCTACCAAATCGATGGGTTCAACCGAACAGTGACAAAAACCAATTAATTCAACCATGGCCAGGCCAGCTACCAATTAAATAAATACCAAATTGCTTCTAAACAGAATTGACATTATCAACCAACAAAAGACTCTAACTTTAACAAATCAAGAGTCAATAACTAAAACCAATCAGATATAATTAAACAAAACCCATGTAAATTACTTTTTTGTTAAGAATACTAGCACCTATGCAAATCCTTCCTTGGTTACACTAGCCAAATTAACCCAGATGTCAAAATCAAGAACGATTAACATTATCCCAACAAAATAATCTCATAATTATAGCAGAATTAACATTACCGTGATATAAGCAAAGGCTCATATTTTGTATACCCTCAACTAAACCAAATATCAAGATCAAACGCGATAAACATTAGCACAACACACAAACTAAATTCACATTTCTTCTGATAAATCAATAAAACCTAACCTAAGATCAAAATCAGCAGCATTAACATTACCGCAACACGGGGAAAAAGTAAGAAAATTTGTGATCAAAATTAAGCAAAATTAACATTTCACAACTAAACCAGAATCAGAATGAAGAAAATTCAGATAACCAAAATCATTTTATAGAAACTAGAATAAGAAAATAAAAGCTGTCATCATTAAAAATAAGGGGGGTGTATTCAATTAGGATTTTAAAAGACTATTTTGGAATAAATAAGTCTTGTGGTATTCAATTAAGACTTTTAAATAATCTAAACAAGTCTTTTGGTATTCAATCAGGACTATTAGGATATTTTAAAGAGGGTGTCCAAATCTAATGGTATTCAATCAAGATTTTAAACAAGTAACAAAAAGTCTTTTGGTATTCAAAAACTTGCTAATTTCGATGGATTTTTTTTTAATGCTGAAATTGTGTGACTTTTTAGTAGGATGTATAAATACCAAACCCTATAAAAATCTCACCCTAACCCATAAGACTTTTCACGTGAGATTTTTTTTATCTGCTAAAGAAGATGAACAGCTCTTCGTGAAGTTGAATAGCTCTTCGTAAACAAGGTATTGCTTCCTTCTCACGCGAACAGCTCTTTATTTGCAATATGCCATGTTATCTGTATATGGTCTGTGACTGTGTGTTTGTATATGGTCTTCGTGGGTTTGCAATATGGTCTGTGGCCTGTGTTTGTATATGACCTGTGTTTGTACATCTCGCTTGTTATCTGTATACAGACCATTAGTCTGCGCAATATACCAAATTTTGTAACTTCCTTTTGTTCAGCACTAGGATTTTTAAATAATAATTATTTGCTGATTGGCTTTTTATAGCTGAATTTTGTTCACGCAAACAGATGGGAAATTCATAATAATGTTGGGAGATAGAGATGATTTGCTAGTTGGGAGACCACACGTGACAGATTAAAATCAATGCCAAGGATTTGTCTACTTTTAACTAAGAAAAAGTTAACTTGCATGAAAATTCTCATCATCATCTTTTGTTATTTGTGATCCATCTTCAACAGTTCCACCTAATTACATATTCTCATATGATCTTGTCCCAACCAAACATTCTCGATATGGTCTGTGGCCTGTATTTGTACAAGTCTAGAATTTGTATAATTTTGTGTGGTGTCAAATGGAAAAGAATTGGTCGAGTGGTATATATTTTTTCAACGTTTAAAGGATTTTGATTAAACTATTTTGATTATACTTTTCTTTTATTTTCTTATTTGGTATGATACGTATTCTTGTAAAATAACTAATAAATTTCTTACATACGTTGTAGTAGTAATTTAAATGGGGGATTCACAACAAGGAAATAATAAAGGAAAAGGCAAAGAGAAAGAGAACTATGAATCTTGGACCATGGACGATACCAATGAGTTGTTGCACCTCTTGTGTTAGCATGTGTAGCACTACATAACTTTCTTCGCAAAGAGTGTCGTTTCTGATGAATTTCCAATTGAACCAATAGACGAATCTTTATCTTCAGTATTACCAGTTAATGAAGAAGATAATTTTGAACCAATTGTTCAAACTCAAGAGCATCAACAAGAAGATGCTAATGAATGGAGGGCTAGAATAGCTTTCGATATGTGGAGAAATGCTATTTAGGAGGACATGAAGCTACATCAAATTGGCTATTAAAAGATTGGAAAAATTGTATTAGCTTTTACTTTTCTTTATTAAAATTATCATTTCTTCGTTATCTTTTTCACTGACTCTTGTAACTTTGAACGTTTGCTTTTATTTATTGTTCCATTTCTCTGTTATCTTGAACCAATTGACTTTCATTGGCTTTTTATTTATGGTTCCATTCCATTTAATCAATTGACTTTCAAAACAATGAGTACCCTGTTGAAAGGTATCCTAGTGGAATTGACAAAGGAGTTGAAGTAGTCGATGAGAAAAGTTCCATCGTCTATTGCATTTGTATGCTTGTAGTTAGTACAATGCTTAGGTTATCTACAGATTACGCTGGTACTATTTATCAAATACTAGGCTTTTGAGTTTGATGTACTACATTGTTCTGTGATTTGAGACTAATTTTTTTTTTTTCGGGAAACAACTACAATGTTTTGTGATCTATAGGACCGTTGGAAGTCAATTGGTTAAATGGAATGGAACCACAAAGTTAGTTGGTTAGCAACATAAAAGAAAAAAATCCATGTGGTCCTTTCAAATTTTATAAATTCTTATGATACAAATGTTTTAAAATCCAAACATAAAAAATCTTGATTATAAAAATCTTTTAAAAAAATCTTTTAAGTCATTACATTCATAAATAGTCTTTTAAAATCCACTGAACTTATTTATCTATAAATAGTCTTTTAAAATCTCAATTGAATACACCCCAGCACAAAGCCACCTGGTATCGATGTGAGGCGACATCATTGGATCGTCAGAGTCGTTGTCGATAAACTTATAATCCGCAACTCCAGATTCGTCGCTGTCCATGGGGGCGGCTGCGTCGTCGTCGCCGCCACTATAGAAATCCTCGTCATTGTCGCCGTCATCATTAGCGTCGAGCATGTCGAAGTCTTCGTCTGATTACATTTCGTGGGTTTTCTGATGAAGAGGATCAAAACCCTAATTGGGAATCAATCCTAATTGCATTGAACAAAAGAGGGCTGGGGTTGGGGTTGATTGGAAGAAAGACAGAGAGAGCGGGAAGTAGGTAAACTAGAGGAGAAGGGAGGGTGAAATTGCTAATTTACTTTATTTAAAGAGTA